TGGTCTTCTTCGGACTTTCTTCCGTTGCCTTCTTCGTAACTTTATCGTCCGCTCGTGTGTTTCCTCCTTCTGAATACTGTTCCATGTATTTCTCCGCCTCTCTGTTGACAAGGGTTGGATAATGTTAAAAAGGATTTCATGCATATCAGATCAGACAAAACCCCATTTCATCTGGACATATTTGGGAAAACAAAAAAACGATTAAAGCAGCGTCCAGACAATGGTTTACACTCAAAATGTTGATGGATCAACTGTTACCGTCGAACATCACTATTACTTTGTTTGCAGTTTTATAATACTAGTAGCAATACTAATACCGATAATAATAATGGTTATAATAACTATAACGTCGGTTGACTTAATATAATTACTGAGTTGGACTAGGCAGTTCTAACCGTACGCGAAAAATCGCACTATAGTAGTGAGCGTCTAGGATATCATAGGCCTGCAGGAAACCCCCACTTGAGCATATAATATACCTGGGGCAATTTCTGAGTCATTTTCGAAGAAAGAGGTGTGTCTCATATACCACCAAATACATATATATCAATTTTCTCATACAATCACATGCTACATGATTACCTGGTGTGCAATACAGAATTGCTTAATTAGCTTAATTGCACCAGTAGTCTTAATCCGTAACAACAACCTTTGCCATGAAGTAATAATCCCGTCACGCAGACTCGACTAAAAATATATCACAAAGGCACATGCAAGAAAAACAAACAAACAAACAAACTCACAGCCATTTCGTCTGCCCAGGATTGGTGAAGAAAGAATGGGGACACAATTCTTGATACTCGAAACAGTCTCCAGTCGACCTGCCGGTTCTCTCAGCTCTCGTGTACTCGTTCAGCCTCTTCTCGGAGTGAGGAGATCGGCTGGCGCTGGAAGATGAGGTAATGGATGATTTATATGATTCTTCAATTAGCTATTTATAGAAGTAGTAAATAAACACAAGCATAGACTGTGGGCTGTATATACATAAACTAGGTTAAGTTGATACAGCGGATTATAGGAAAATGTTTCCTCTTAGAACTTTTATCAGTTTTGATGTGTATAAAATTATGTAAACAAACTCTTTTTTCCAGCTATTTGCTCTTACTCTGTTAGAAAAATCTCAATAAGTAATACTATTGACAAGTCCATGAAAATGTTAACAACAACATCAATGACATTTATAATCATACTATTACAACTATGATATTGGCATATTGGTGATAATGATAAAGCTAATGATAACGGCGGTACTGCTGAAGATACGATAATAAATGTAAATGTTCATACTGCGAATAAAGAAAATATCACAGCATATAATATTATGCCATTACACAAGTTAGCCTTTCAATTTTACCTGAAGAAAAGTTCGAGGACTTCACCAAAGAAACCGTGATTATCGAGGGGGAACTGGAACATTTCGCAGATGGCCCTCAGGAGGCATCCCTTTCCATTCATGCCCATGTTGAACAGAGTGTCTTCTACCACCTGGTACATCATCTCTCTGTTGAGGAAATGCAAAATGTAAGTTTCTAGCTCTGATTTTAGTTAAAGGTTGTGATTTAACACAAGCCGTGTCGTACAAAGCGTATATTTGTAGGCGAAAAAAGGAAAAAAATAAAAAGCAAACGTATATTAAATCCTATATAACACCTCGTGCCATTCCTTCCATAAACTATCTAAAAAATCGTCTCATTTGTTTCTCTGTTATTTTGTTTTTCATACTTTCATTAAATTATATCCCAAACAGCCACACAAACACACCAAAGCGAAATGTGTCTGAAGTTTCTGTTTGTCTTGTCTGTGCTGGCACCGTGTCTCTTTAATGTCCCGTGTTTTTTCCAAGCACTAGATCGTCTTACCTGTCTCCTCCCGCATAGTTGACGCCAGGGTAGGAAGTGAAGGTGTCTCTCTTCTTCCTAAATAATCCGAAGTCTGGCCAAAGACCCCAAGGATTCTCTTCGGAGGTCAAACCCAGGTCATCAAATCCAACTGTGAGAAAATAATGTCAGGTCACTGGTCAAAGAGTCCCGTTTCTCCCCGGCAAGTTAACCAAAAGTTTAAGATATCAAAGTCTCCCAAGAGATTGACCTTTTGCGGTCTTTGGAAAATAGACAGACAACCACAGAACACGAAGTCAAGGTCGAGAATGTGAAATGAGACCTTGATAAAGTTCTCAGGACAAAGCTACCAAGTTTGAAATTGATTGATTGAAGTTTTAGGACACAGATCACCAAGCTCAGCCTTAGCGAGGGACTGTCACTTGTATCGAGTCAAAAAGTATAATGCTGAAATAAATGGTCACAAGTCATTGCTGATATAAATAGGGAACAGGAAAACAAGGGTGGTTATCGATGGCTGGTGTTGATAATGAATGTGATATAAAAATATCATGAGCGGAGTACAAAGTAACAAGGTAAGTTATGAATGCGAATGAATAATTTCATTACACAAGATATGTAGCAGAGCTTTTGACATAGCATCTTTGTCTGCATTACGTAATAAAATTCATTCTCATCCAAACTTTTTGTAAAGGAAGATTATGCAAACAGTGAAAAATATGAGTTCGAAAACAGAAGGTAAGCAACCATATCAAGTTTCTTATAAATGGAAAAAAAACTAACCAAATAATAGATCATGGATCCCCAACATATTAGGAGAAGCATGCAAGAAAAAGTCTCAAATTAAACAAATGAATGTCAAAACAAAGCATATGAAGTTCTAGATAGTTTCCCAAGAGGCGACTGTTTCGTTTTCGTCTATTTGAAATCAGGAAATCTATAAGTCATATGAGGCATTCGTCACTGATAGAGGTGGTGGTGAGTAACTGAAATTTGGAAGAAAAACTGATGTTCGTGAGTAAAGTCATGTGTACGAATTGTGTGTTTCTTGGCATCGTTGAATATGCGTCTTGATTAAGCAACTCGTCTCACTTGCAACAGCGATTCTGAACAAGATTTTGCATATCCGTGACTCACTGTTTTTTGTGTTATTAGAACTTAACGTAGCTCATAATCGAAAGGTGTTTCCACCCACGAAAATTTTATTACAGGGCTAATGGATTACAGTACTGATACATTTATTTTCAGAGATGAAAATACGAATCTTCCTAAGGAATATTGTCAAAGGGTCTGAAACTCTTGGTCAAAAGAGGAAGGAAAGTTCACCGAAGAAACGAACAAAGCGCCGTCTGTGAAATCCTGCAACCACTCTCCTCCAACATCACGTTCTGAATGAAGTGTGTAAGTGTATGCATGAATATATGAATGCTACTGCACATGTGTGTAGTTGTGACGTAGGCCTTACTCTTGAAGGGGATCGAGATCGTCATAGAAGCGCCGTAGCCCGTCGGTAAGTTCCTGGCGAAGGGCAGACTGAGAGTAGGCGTGAGGACCAGCACAGTCTCCGGCGGGAGGGTCAGGCGGCGCTCGCTCGTCAAGTAGATCACTCTCTTCACTCGGGAATGCGACCTGGCGGGAAACGTGGGTGGATGTTGGGGATTCGTAATAGGGACAGTTTTTATTATGATAAATGTTTTCTCTACATTATCTCTAGCTTGAGTGGTTTATCATATTTGTATTTAAGACTTGTATAAACAAAAGTACATACAAAATATATTTTTACACATTAAGCAAACAGAATTTGAAAATATCGCAGACCTTATAAATCAAAAACCAAGAATATTAAAATGACAGTTTATTCAAACTCATCACCAATCTGAATATATAAAATAACAATACTTTTACACCCCCTAATTAAGTCCGTTTTAGGCATTAACAATGTTTCTATTACTATGGAGTTGGAGAGAAAACAACATATAAATTCTAAAATTGCAACGACGCTAAAATTACGAGAAAAGAATACGAAACAAAAACGGAAGACTGGAAAAGTTGCAAAAAGAAAGAAAGAAAGAAGAAAAAAGGCCTAAGATATAACAACATAAAAGATACAATGACTGACAGACTAATGACTAATAACACTATCCTCTACACAGCGACTTACGTGGTGTTCGAGTTCTCTGCGATATCGTCGATGTCATGGCAGAGCGCGATGCCAGGCAGTACCGCTAGGAGTGCCAACATCACCGGCCATCTCGGAAGTCGCGTCATCCTGTAAAGGAGGAGAGTGTGAGTGCCGATTTATTTCGAAGATTTGCAGTTACATATAAAAAAATGGGGGGAAAAGACAAAATAAATAAATAGATAAATAAATAAATAAATAAACGAAATATACAAATGAATGCGTGTGTGTGTATACGATGGATAATAAAGCTGCGTCATATCTCTTCAGTAAAGCACTTCCTGTTCAAGCCCTCATCCTTTTCCTTCTCACCTTAATCCCCCTCTTATTGCCCATTCTCTCTCTCTCCTCCTTCGCACGATTTCTACCAATTCTCCACAAGCTATCCACTCCCTCTGACCTCTTTCTCCGTCCCCATTTCACACCCATCTAACCATTCAAAGGAAACCACAATCGCTTTACAGATGAATCAGCAGAAGGATGTCAGAGATGTTATCCTTAATCTTCTTAGAACGCGAGGAAAGTTCGTGAGAAAAAAAAAAGATTTCTGTAAATATTATATTTTACGTTCGAACTGAGAGCACGTAGTTTACGAAGATATAACAAACGGACGTACGAGGACCAGGGGTTTAAAATGAATGCCACGTGAGCCAATCTACACACTGAATGTCTCTGATCCCGCTAAGAATACCGCCACACTACGCAAGATTGATTGGCATTGTTGCAATACTTCTCTTCATGAAAGAATAAATGTCGGCGTAGTAATGAAGCAAAAAAAAAAAAAAAAGAAAGACAAATATTCAAGCAAAAACAGAATAGAACCTGTTAGTGGCAAGGGACGCTACCCATCAGGCAAGAAACAAATGAAGAAAAGATAGGTTTTCTTCGAATGACCAGGAACGTAATGTTCTGGCAAAAAGAAATAAGTAAGTCTGCGTTTACATGCCTGAGAAGAATGGGTAATGAATTTTTAATTGCGGGATGGGAGATGAAATCCTTCCAAGGGTGGCGAGCTTAAGTACTCGTAAAAAGAAGCTGGTTGATGTCATTTGCATGCAAAGGACGAGAGAAACGGAGATAGATAGTAGGTAAGTAGGTAGATATATTGAGAAGAGAGGGAGAGGGAGAGAGAGAGAGGGAGAGAGAGAGAGGGAGGGAGAAAGAGGGAGGGAGAGGGAGGGAGAGGGAGAGAGAGGGAGGGAGGGAGGGAGGGAGAGAGAGAGAGAGAGAGAGAGAGAGAGAGAGAGAGAGAGAGAGAGAGAGAGAGAGAGAGAGAGAGAGAGAGAGAGAGAGAGAGAGAGAGAGAGAGAAGAGAGAGAGAAAGAGAGAGAGAAAGAGAAAGAGGGGAAGGGAAAGGGAGAGGGAGGGAATGAGAGGGGGAGGGAGGGAGGGAGGGAGAGATAGAGATGAAAGAGAGAGAGAATCGTAATTAGATCTTGTATGCAAAGATTAGTTATGCAAATTCCCTTATATGAAGAAAAAAAATTGGTTAAGTTTTTCTCTCCTGATAATGGCAAATCACACCTCAAATGTACTGTTTTAAGCCTTTAATTACTTTTATTTGAGACTGATTATGTACCTTTATTTCTATTGTTAAAAATAAATATGACGCTTGATAAGATAAATGCATTATAATCGATCACTGATGCATGTGTATTCTAATTTTTTGTTTTACATTCCGGATTATATGCTTCACTGGTCAATGTTGCATACATGAAAAGCTTTAGTGTTTAATTACAGTGAGAGAGAGAGAGAGAGAAAGAGAAAGAGAAAGAGAAAGAGAGAGAAAGACAGAGAGAGAGAGAGAGAGAGAGAGAGAGAGAGAGAGAGAGAGAGAGAGAGAGAGAGAGAGAGAGTAAGAGAGAGAGAGAGAGAGAGAGAGAGAGAGAGAGAGAGAGAGAGAGAGAGAGAGAGAGAGAGAGAGAGAGAGAGAGAGAGAAAGACAGAGAGAGAGAGAGAGAGAGAGAAAGACAGAGAGAGAGAGAGAGAGAGAGAGAGAGAGAGAGAGAGAGAGAGAGAGAGAGAGAGAGAGAGAGAGAGAGAAAGAGACGACAGATAGGGAGATAAAGTCAACAAACAGAGAAAATAAAACTGACTTTAACAGCCAAGCTTAAATCCGTTTTTTCCACCTGTTAAATTGTCAGGTTAAATGTCCTTCGCTCGTTGACTTCGCGAAGACAAGTTTTACATCACAAGGAAATGGCTTCAACAAGATCTGATTTCGTCCTGTCGTGAAGCAGTCCCCTCCCCCCTCCCAACGATAAAAAAAGAAGAAAAAAAAGAGAAAGAAAAAAGGTTCTTTCATTCAACAGAAAATTCCTTGCATGGAACGAGATACAACCTTTTCTTCCAGTTCAAGATTTTTCTTGTTTCGTGTTTTTTCAGTCGTGTGAGGGAATGCCTTTCTTTTTTTTATTTTATTTTACACGAGTTATTTCCTTTTTTATCGCCAGATATGTAGACAAAGATATAAATGAATGAATAAATAAATAGATATGTATATTTTGTACATATACACAAAATGGTACTTCTGATTCCAAATCATTCAATATGATACAAGGTTTCACTTATTATTCATTCTTAAAAAAATGATTTGCTTTAATCTAGTACACAATCTAATGAATGTTTTGTATTCCCAATTACTATTCTCATTCTTCGATATCAAATCTAGCTTTATTTCAGATTCTCTCGCCTTTTTCCATTTTTTCTCCTCTCTCTTACGACTCCCTTCTCCTTGAATTCTTTCGTTCATTTTATCGCATAATTCCACAGTTTTAGGCAATTCCAGTATATTGGAACGTTATGGGTGTGCATAAGAAAAAAAAAGAATTACGAGACAGAGGAAGTTAAGATGAATTTTAAAACAGAGAATGGGATGATTACATAGAATATGGTTAAGTTACTGTTTCATTCAGAGAGAAAATGGGAATAAGAGAAATTTGGAAAGCGATGAAAAGAAAAAAGAAGAAAAAAGGAGGAGGAGGAGGGGGAGAAAAAGAAGAAGAAGGAGGAGGAGGAGGAGGAGAAAAAGAAGAAGAAGGAGGAAGAGGAGAAAAAGAAGAAGGAGAAGGCGGGGAGGAGAAAAAGAAGAAGAAGAAGGAGAAAGTATAAGATTGTTTTCAAAACAATTAATGAACTAATTACGAAGAGAAACAATACTCTGAAAATTTACTGTGTACGACCATAAACGACGGAAATGAATAATCGAGAAGTAACGTCAAAGAAGAAGAAGAAGAAGAAGAAGAAGAAGAAGAAGAAGAAAAACGCAACAGGTAGAACGGCAAGGAAGAATAATGATGACGAAGGAGGAAAGATAAAGTAGAAGAGTGATGGTGAACGACGATGATGAAGGAGAAGGATGTAATGCGAAGGAAGGAGAGAAGTAGACAAGGAATGATAACGGAAGAGGAGAGAGAGACAGAAGAACGGAGGGAATGAGATGCCTGGACTAGTTTTTGTCTCTTAATGGATTCTGCGCTACCTCCTTGCTGTGCGAACTAGTACTGATGCAGGAAGAAGAGGAAGAGGGAGAAGGAAGAGAAGGAAGAGGAAGAGGGGGAGGCAGAGGAGGATGAGGAGGAAGAGGGAGAAGGAAGAGAAGGACGAGGAAGAGGGAGAAGGAAGAGAAGGAAGAGGAAGAGGGGGAGGCAAAAGAGAAGGAAGAGGAAGAGGGGGAGGCAGAGGAGGATGAGGAAGAGGGAGAAGGAAGAGGAGATGGGGGAGGAAGAGGGAGAAGGAAGAGAAGGAAGAGGAAGAGGGGGAGGCAGAGGAGGATGAGGAAGAGGGAGAAGGAAGAGGAGATGGGGGAGGAAGAGAAGGATGAGGAGGGGGGGGAGGAGGGGGAAGGGGAGGAAGAGGAGGGGGGAGGGAGGAGGAGTGGGGGAGGAGTAGGATGAGGATGAGGAAGAGAAGGAGGATAATGAGGTGTAGGATGGGGAGGATTGGAGAAGGAGAAGAAGGAGGAGGAGGAGGAGGAGGGCGAGTGGGAAGAGGAGGAGGAGGAGAAAAATAATAATAACAATGATAATAAGAGGAACAAGAAGAAAATGTGAATAAGAGAGATGAAAAATAAAATAAAAGAAAAAGAAAACAGGAAAATAAGAGAAAAGAAAAGAAGAAGAAGAAGAGAAAAAAAGAAGAAGAGAAGAAGAAGAAGAAGAGAAGAAGAAGAAGAGAAGAAGAAGAAGAAGAAGAGAAGAAGAAGAAGAGAAGAAGAAGAAGAAGAGAAGAAGAAGAAGAAGAGAAGAAGAAGAAGAAGAAAAACGCAACAGGTAGAACGGCAAGGAAGAATAATGATGACGAAGGAGGAAAGATAAAGTAGAAGAGTGATGGTGAACGACGATGATGAAGGAGAAGGATGTAATGCGAAGGAAGGAGAGAAGTAGACAAGGAATGATAACGGAAGAGGAGAGAGAGACAGAAGAACGGAGGGAATGAGATGCCTGGACTAGTTTTTGTCTCTTAATGGATTCTGCGCTACCTCCTTGCTGTGCGAACTAGTACTGATGCAGGAAGAAGAGGAAGAGGGGGAGGCAGAGGAGGATGAGGAAGAGGAGAAGGAAGAGAAGGAAGAGGAAGAGGGGGAGGCAAAAGAGAAGGAAGAGGAAGAGGGGGAGGCAGAGGAGGATGAGGAAGAGGAGAAGGAAGAGGAGAGAAAGATAAGAAATTGGAAGAAAAGCGAGAAAAAAGGAGAATCGAAACAAAGAGAGAAAGAGGAAGAACAAGAGAAAATAAGACGAGGAAGAAGATAAAAGAGAAGTGTGTGTGTGTGTGTAAGCGTTTGTGTTTATATATGAATATAAATATATGTCATTATATCCCTATCATAATTCATATATAAGTATTTACACTTATGCCTATACTTGTATTTGTGGAATATGGTATACAGAGAGCAGTTTATAAAATAAAAAGGACGTAAATACATTACCAGTTTACAGCACACCTCATTTACAACAATAACGATAATTTTCTGGGTCATGAACATGCTAATGATACATACCTTTACAATGGCACAGAAACCCCGCATTAAATCATAATTTTGGATTATATTCGACTTTCTCTATTATTATTTCATCATCAAATTATCACCC